TTTGGTGGGCTTGGGGGTCCAAAAAAATTTCCATCCCGGGCATTGAATTTTCATGCGACTGCGGCTGCAAACGAATGTAGATTTGACCCCATCAATAATTGGAACATCAAATTATTCTTGTAATTAAAAAATTTCAAAATAAAATCTCCATGTGTATGGCCAGAATCAGAGACCGCTACAAAATCCTGTTTGTTGCAACACGTAAGAAACAAATGTGAAATAAATTCAGAACTCTTATTATCTCACCACAGAACTCTAAAAACAAATAATACCAAAGATAAAAATGAAAAAAAAGATACAAAGTATATGACACGATCGCTGCGAGAGTCTGATCCTGCACACAGCCAATGGCTGGCTTTCCCGATCCTGCTGAACATCCAGGAGCAAACATGATTGGCCATCCTCAGTCATGTAGCCATTAGTGCAAGCCCATCATACAGGTAGATACCTCCACAGTGTCGGCGAAAACCAGTGAAAAGGTTCAGGAGGAGCCTCACCCGGGTTTCAAAAAAGTAAAAATCAGCAGCAACAAGTTCTAAGTTTGAAATAAATGATAGTTACCAGCCCAGGACATCCAATGAGATCTTCCTTCAGCTCTGAGTCTTCACCGCTCCCTTCATTCCTCCAAGTCAGGACAGGAAGTGATGGGGAATCTCGCTAGGGGGACACATACAAAACAGTTTTAGGAAGAACGTAAATTCCTGGATATGGGGGAAAGTTTGGGGTCCTGATCCTGCATATGGGGTTGTTGGGTGAGGTTGGGGTCCTAATTCTGGAGATGGGGATATGGTATGGAGATGGGAATAGATGGGAATATATCCTTCAACCTTAACCTCCCATCCCCTAATCCCATCCCCCAATCCCATCCCTAACCCTAATCCCATCACCGAACCCTAATCCCATCCCCTAATCCCATCCTCTAACCCTAATCCCATCACCGAACCCTAATCCCATCCCCATCCCCCAATCCCATCCCCTAACCCTAATCCCATCCCCATCCCCCAATCCCATCCCCTAACCCTAATACCATCCCCTAATGCTAACTCTTAACCCTGAAACCTGACAAAGGTTCTAATCCTTCCCCATCACATCCAAAATGAAAAAAAAATGGGTAGATACATTTTAAGGGCCCATTCACAATTGTGCACTATAGCTACGCATGCTAAAACAAGCTCCTTACCGCACATTGCAAACGCATGGCAACACGCCTGCTCTACCGGATCTGTAATGTGCCGCCCTTCGGTGTATAGGGCATCACATTGTACAGCACAGCCCTACACAACGCAGCCACCACAGTGCATCATCTGTGCGTTGTGTTCCATTGTTTTGTTAGAAAGGGTCCTGAACATTGTTTTCTTCCATTCTGATACATTGGCTGATGCAAACCAATGCGAGCCACAACGCACATTCATGTGCAGTACTGCAATACGGCACCCTCATGTGAATGGGCCCCGCACTCTTCCCCATACAATCCAAAACTGCAATCTAATGTCAGAAGGTAACCTTTACCAGGACATTGGGTGCTGTATATGGGGCTCTACAATGTGGCCCCTCCCCATTACCATCACCCATAACCTCCCATCACCATCACCCATAACCTCCCATCACCATCACCATCATCACCATCACCCATAACCTCCCCATCACCATCACCAATAACCTCCCCATCACCACCCATAAATCCCCACCTCCCCATCACCATCCCATAACCTCCCATCCATCACCTCATCACCATCCCATAACCCCCATCCATCACCATCATCCCCATAACCTCCCCATCACCATCACCATAACCTCCCATCACCATCACCAATAACCTCCCATCCCCATCTCATCACCATAATCCCCCCATAACCTCCCCATCACCATCCCATAACCTCCCTCCCATCCCATCACCCATAACCTCCATAACCTCCCATCACCATCACCAATAACCTCCCCATCACCATCCCCCATAACCTCCCCATCAACCCATAACCTCCCCATCACCATCACCCATAACCTCCCATCACCATCACCATAACCTCCCATCACCATAACCTCCCACCTCACCCATAACTCCATCACCATCACCCATAACCTCCCATCACCATAACCTCCCCCCATAACCTCCCCATCACCCATAACCTCCCCATCAAATCATCACCATAACCCATAACCTCCCATCCCATCACCCCTCCCCATCACCATCACCCATAACCTCCCCCCATCACCCCATCACAATAACCTCCCCATCACCATCCCCCATAACCATCCCCATCACCCATAACCTCCCCATCACCATCACCCATAACCTCCCATCACATCACCCATAACCTCCCATCACCCATCACCCATAACCTCCCCACATCACCCATAACCTCCCATCACCATCACCCATAACCTCCCATCACCATCACCCATAACCTCCCCATCACCATCACCCATAAACTCCCATCACCATCACCCATAACCCATCACCATCCCCATCACCCATAACCCATAAATCCCCATCCCATCACCCCATCACCATAACCCATAACCTCCCCATCCACCCATAACCTCCCCATCACCATCACCCCATAACCTCCCATCACCTGACCATGGAAACTCGGGCACACCATCCCCATAAGGGCCCGGGGTCATCACCCATAACATCCCATCACCAACCCATAACATCCCATCACCATCACCCTTTAACCTTCCATCACCCCTTTTCACCCATCAAACCATCAATAAACCCCCATAATCCCCATAACCTCCCATCATCCCCATCACTGCCATAACCTCCCATCACCATAACTCCCATCAACCAACCATCCCCATCACCCATAACCCATCAACCTCCCATAACCTCCCCATCACCATCACCCCACCCACCTCCCCATCACCCATAACCTCCCCAACACCCAAACCATAACCTCCCATCATCCCCCATAACCTCCCATCACCATTACCCATAACTTCCCCATCACCATCACCCATGGCACATAACCTCCCATCACCATCGCCCATAAACACATCACCATCACCATAAACCACCCCATCACCCATAACCTCCCCATCATCATCGCCCATATCCTCCGCATCACAATCACCCATAACCTCCCATCACCATCACCCATAACCTCCCCATCACAATCACCCATAACCTCCCATCACCATCACCCATAACCTCCCCATCACCATCACCCATAACCTCCCCCATAACCTCCCCATCACCATCACCCATAACCCATCACCTCCCCACCACCCATAACCTACCATCACCATCACCCATAACCAGGGGCGGACTGACCATTTGGAAACTCGGGCACTGCCCGAGGGCCCGGGGTCAGTAGGGGGCCCCATGAGATGCCCCTGGTACCTTTTTCATAGGCTTTTTTGAGTTTGGGCAAGGACACAGGGGCCCCATAATCCCCTATTGCCCGGGGGCCCCATGAGTTGTCAGTCTGCCCCTGCCCATAACGCATAACCTCCCTATCACCCATAACCTCCCCATCACCAATAACACATAACCTCCCATCACCTCCCCATCACCCATAACCCATCACCCATAACCTCCCCATCACCCATAACCCATCACCCATAACCTCCCCATCACCATAACCCATCACCCATAACCTCTCCCATCACCATCACCCATAACCTCCCATCACCATCACCATAACCTCCCATCACCATCACCATAACCTCCCATCACCATCACCCATAACCTCCCATCACCATCACCCATAACCCCCCCATCACCCATAACCTCCCCATCACCCATAACCTCCCCATCACCATCACCCATATCCTCCCCATCACCATCACCCATAACCTCCCATCACCATCACCCATAACCTCCCATCACCCATAACCTCCCTTCCCATCACCCATAACTCCCATCATCCCCCATAACCTCCCCATCACCCATAACCTCCCCATCACCCTCACCCATAACCTCCCATCACCATCACCCATCAGGAGTTCCTAGGAGTCAGGACTATAAATGAAGCCAACATTTCTCAGAGTCTCCAATCATTAACTAGAACTAATGATCCGGACACAACCAGGCTGGGGGGGGGACTAACTCGACAAAGAATGATTGATGGCAGAACTTCAGGAAACCACCCAAAACCCCCCTCCCGCATGCGTCTCTCCCCCACGCACTCCACTTCTATGTCCTGCCAAAATCATGAAATGTGCTTTCTTATCCTGCTGACCAAACATCCTGAAACCGGCTTCAGTATTAACTTCCTATAATACTCTCTGCACCAGAAATCAGGATTTCATTGGGTCTAGATCTCAGATAAAAGTCAGATCTACAGGAAAGGTGGGGGAAGGGGTGTCTGGGGAGGGGGGGGGTCTCTCTGGAGGAAGGAAAATGCATCCATGGATGTGGATGAAAGGTGGGTCTATGGGTGGGGGAGTGGAAGATGTGTCTATGGTTGGGGGATAAGAGGAGAGTCTTAAGGGTGAGGAATGAAAGGCAGGTCTATGGAAAGGATGAAAGGCAGGGTGAGGGATGGAAGAGGGGGCTATGGGGGGGATACAAGGTAGGTCTATGGGTGGGGGATGATAGGTGGATCTATGGGTGGAGGATAAAAGGAGTGGGTCTATTGGTAGAGGACGAAAAGTGGGTTTATGGTGAAAGATAAAAGATGGGTCTATGGGTGGAGGACAAAAGATGGGTCTATGGGTAGAGGACAAAAGATGGGTCTATGGGTAGAGGACAAAAGAAGGGATCCCTTCACTGCAACTAGGGGGCCAAGCCCAACCCCTGAAAAACACCCCCACACTATAATCCCCCCTCCACCAACCTTTACACTTGGCACAATGCAGTCAGGCAAGTACCGTTCTCCTGGCCACCACCAAACCCAGACACGTCCATCGGATTGCCAGACAGAGAAGTGTGATTGGTCACTCCAGAGAACACGTCTCTCCTGCTCTAGAGTCCAGTGGCAGCGTGCTTTACACCACGGCATGCGATGCTTTGCATTGCACTTGGTGATGGAAGGCTTGGATGCAGCTGCTCGGCCATGGAAACCCATTCCATGAAGCTCTCTACGCACTGTTGTTGGGCTCATCTGAAGGCCACACCAAGTTTGGAGGTCTTTAGCTATTGACTCTGCAGACAGTTGGTGACTTCTGCGCACTGTGCGCTTCAGCAATGCGCTGACCCCGCCCTGTCATGTGACGTGGCCTACCACTTGGTGGCTGAGTGGCTGTTGTTCCCAGTTGCTTCCACTTTGTTATAATCCCACTAACAGTTGAGCGTGGAATATTTATTAGCCAGGAAATGTCACGGATGGACTTATTGCCCTAGTGGCCACCTATCACGGGACCACGCTTGGAGTCACTGAGCTCCTGAGAGCGACCCATTCTTTCACCAATGTTTGTAGAAGCCGTCTGCATGCCTAGGGGCTTGATTGTATACACCTGTGTCCATGGAGGGGATTGGAACACCTGAATCACATGATATGGAGGGGATTGGAAGACCTGAATCACATGATATGGAGGGGATTGGAGCACCTGAATCACATGATTTGGAGGGGATTGGAACACCTGAATCACATGATATGGAGAGGATTGGAACACCTGAATCATATGATATGGAGGGGATTGGAACACCTGAATCACATGATTGGGAGGGGATTGGAGCACCTGAATCACGATTGGGAGGGGATTGGAACACCTGTATCACATGATATGGAGGGGATTGGAGCACCTGAATCACATGATTCGGAGGGGATTGGAACACCTGAATCACATGATAAGGAAGGGATTGGAACACCTGAATCACATGACATGGAGGGGATTGGAACAGCTGAATCACATGGTTTGGAGGGGATTGGAACACCTGAATCACATGATATGGAGGGGATCGGAACACCTGAATCACATGATTGGGAGGGGATTGGAACACCTGAATCACATGATATGGAGAGGATTGGAACACCTGAATCACATGATTGGGAGGGGATTGGAAGACCTGAATCACATGATTGGGAGGGGATGGGAACACCTGAATCACATGATTTGGAGGGGATTGGAACACCTGAATCACATGATATGGAGGGGATTGGAACACCTGAATCACGATTGGGAGGGGATTGGAGCACCTGAATCACATGATATGGAGGGCGGGCCCAATACTATTGCCAATATAGTGTGTATTATATATATTGTATGACGTATTAAAGAATCCAGAGCCTGGTTGATGTTTCTCATCCCGCAGAAGAATGATCACTATGGAGGAAGATTGGGGCTTATTCCACTCAGGATGTTATCTTTGTCCTGATAGGACGCCAGGCAGCATGTGACGCGACGTTATAAGTTACACTTTTGGGCTTTCTGTAACACAAGTGACGCTCTGCGCGGGCGAATCGCCATTTATTACCAGCGGCCGCTCTGCGACTGATCTCATCAGCCTCTTCTTGGAAGTCGGGTATCGATGAGCAGCAACAAGCGGATTAGAATGGATCTGTTTGCTAATTGAGCGAAATGTAACATTCGTTACTCCTGAGAGGACCTCTAATGATCCGTCATGTGACGGGAGGGACTCATTACGGGGAGCGGCGCTGACATCAAACGTCCTGGCCGCAACCACCACAGTGATGAAACGGGACCCCGATGAAGAACGGGTCGGGAAAGGGGGGGGGGGGGGCAAGGGACTGAATCTCATAAAATATTTAGCAGCAAACTCATCGGATTTGGTAAAAAAATATACACTTCAGCTGTCTACACGTCAAGGACTCGAGGAAGATCCTCACTTGCTTCTGTCCTGCAGATTTCATGCACTTGTGGCCATCCAGCACGTTGTACCTTAACCACTAGCCACCGGGCACTGATACCCCCCCCCCCCCCCAGGCCAAATTTCAGCTTTCAGCGCTGTCATACTTTGAATGACAATTGCGCGGTCATGCAACTCTGTACTGATATGAAATTTTTATCATTTTTTTGAGACAGATAGAGCTTTCTTTTGGTGGTATTTACTCACCTCGGGGAGTTTTATTTTTTGCTAAACAAACCAAAAACCACTGAAAATGTTTAAAAAAAAAAAAGTTTTTTCTTAGTTTGTGTTATAACATTTTGTAAATAAGTGATTTGTTCCCTTCACTGATGTGCGCTAATGAGGCTGTAGTGATGGGAACTGATAGGCTGCACTGATAGGTGACACTGATGGACACTGATAGGTGGCACTGATGGGCACTGATGAGGAGGCACTGGTAGGTGGCACTGATGGGCACTGAAAGGCAGCACTCATATATGGCACTGATAGGCGGCACTGACTGGCACTGTTAGGTGGCACTAATAGGCAGCACAGATAGGCAGCACTGATGGGCACTGATGAGGAGGCACTGGTAGGTGGCACTGATGGGCACTGATGAGGAGGCACTGGTAGGTGGCACTGATGGGCACTGATGAGGAGGCACTGGTAGGTGGCACTGACTGGCACTGTTAGGCGGCACTGATAGGCAGCACTGATGGGAACTGATAGGCGGCACTGATAGGCAGCACTGATGCGCACTGATAGGCTACACTGACTGGCAGCACTGATAGGTACCACTGACTGGCATTGATAGGTGGCACTGATGAGGAGGCACTGGTAGGTGGCACTGATGGGCATTGACAGGCATCACTGAAGGGCACTGAAAGGCAGCACTCATATATGGCGGCATAGGCGGCACTGACTGGCACTGTTAGGTGGCACTGATGCGCACTGATAGGCGGCACTGACTGGCATTGATAGGTGGCAATGAAAGGCAGCTCAGATGGGCACTGATAGGCACTAGCAGGTGGCATGGATGAGCACTGACAGGTGGCACTGCTGGGGCTACACCGATCATCAGTGTAGATGTCCCCTCCGAGGAATGCAGATCACCGGCTCTCCGCTCCTCTCCTCTGTCAGCGTGACAGCTCGTGAGAAGAGGAATGCCAATAACCGGCATTTCCCTGTTTACATGTGACCAGCTGTGATTGGACACAGCTGATCACATGACTGAGCCGACATCTTCGGCTCTTTCCATTGATCTGTGATCAGCTGTGTCCGAGGGACACAATGCACCACCGATGGCCGCGCTGTGCGGTCCCGGAGCCACGCATGCGCGGTTAGAATGGGAGACGTCATATGACTCCTCCCAGAACGAGAGAAACGCCTTGCGCCCGTCATTACCTTATATGGCAGGTGGGAGGCGGTTAACTAAGCCCAGTACAGAGGAAGAGGATATCGGGCGAATGACCATCCGAATCGAAATAGAAGAGGTTACTAAAGTGGTGAAAATTCTTGTACAACAAAAAGAAAACTGTAAAAGTGATGTCATGTGTTGAATTTTCGCATGAAAAATGTACTGATTAGCCCCTTCCCGCCTGAGGGTAAAACAGAGGTTAATGCCTAAGCACAATTTTGCAGCTTTGGCATGTGTCCGTATCATCACAATTACCAGGTGGAGTATGCCGCATTTCTTTCAGGACACATTGGACTTTTCTGGTGGTAAATGTTAACTTTATATCTCTTGATTTTTTTTTATCAATGGAAAACTGGCCCAAAATAGTAAAAAAAATTTTTTAAAAAATTATATTTAGCTATATATTTCTTGCTACTACCATAAACTAAAATCAAATATTGGTACCCAAGTGCAACCACTCCTATATACTGCTTGTGAATGCAGACACCCTTCTATACTGCTGCAACACTCATACTTACATAGTTAGTCTGGCTGAAAAAAGACAAAAGTCCATCCAGTTCAACCATAACGAAAAAAAAAAGAAGTTATACTCCTCCACCCACAGCTGATCCAGAGGAAGGGAAAAAAAAAAAGAGCAAAGCACGATCCAATCTCCTCCTGCTGGGAAACATTCCTTCCTGATCCCCCGAGAGGCAATCGGATATTCCCTGGATCACCTTTCCCTATAAATGTTATATCCAGTTATATTCTGTGTATCCAAGAAAGAATCCAGGACTTTCCTACAGCAATCCACTGAGCTGGCCACAACCAACTCTGGAGGGAGTCTATTCCACATTCTCACAGCTCTTACTGTGAAGAAACCTTTCCGTGTTTGGAGATTCCACTTTTCTTCCAGATGTAAAGAGCGCCCCCTTGTCCTCTGTGATGACCTCAGGGGGAAGAACTACACCGAGTTCACTATATGAACCACTGATGTATTATACAGGAGATCATATCCCCCTTATGTATTATACATGGAGATCATATCCCCCCTTATGTATTATACATGGAGATCATATCCCCCCTTATGTATTATACATGGAGATCATATCCCCCCTTATGTATTATAGATGGAGATCATATCCCCCCTTATGTATTATACATGGAGATCATGTATCCCCCTTATGTATTATACATGGAGATCAAATCCCCCCTTATCGTATTATACATGGAGATCATATCCCCCACCCCTTATGTATTTATACATGGAGATCATATCCCCCCTTTATGTATTATACATGGAGATCATACGTCCCCCCCCTTATGTATTATACATGGAGATCATATCCCCCTTATGTATTATGACATGGAGATCATGGATCCCCCCCCTTATGTATTATACATGGAGATCATACCCCCCCCTTATGTATTCAAATAACATGGAGATCATATCCCCCTTATGTATTATACATGGAGATCATATCCCCCCATTATGTATTATACATGGAGATCATGTATTATACGGAGTAGATCCCTTATGGGGTATTATTACATGGAGATCATATTCCCCCCTTATGTATTATACATGGAGATCACATCCCCCCTTATGTATATATACATGGTGATCATATCCCCCCTTATGTATTATACATGGAGATCACATCCCCCTTATGTATTATTACATGGAGATCATATCCCCCCTTTATGTATTATACTTGGAGATCATATCCCCCTTATGTATTATACATGGAGATCACATCCCCCCCTTATGTATTATACATGGAGATCATATCCCCCTTTTATGTATTATACATGGAGATCACATCCCCCCCTATACACTGGAGTTCTATACATGGAGATCATATCCCCCCTTATGTATTATACATTGGAGATCATATCCCCCCTTAAGTATGTATACATTATTCATATACCTTATGGAGATACATGGTAGATTCCCCCTTATGTATTCTATACATGGAGATCATACCCCCCTTATAGATGTATTATACATGGAGATCATATTCCCCCTTATGTATTATACATGGAGATCATATCCCCCCTTATGTATTATACATGGAGATCATATCCCCCCTTATGTATTATACACATGGAGAATCATATCCCCCCTTATGTATTATACATGGTGGAGATCATATCCCCCCTTATGTATTATACATGGAGATCATATCCCCCCTTATGTATGTATTATACATGGAGATCATATCCCCCTTATGTATTATACATGGAGATCATAATCCCCCCTTATGTATTTACATGGGGATCATATCCCCCCTTATGTATTAATACATGGAGATCATATCCCCTCTTATGTATTATTACATGGAGATCATATCCCCCCTTATGTATTTATACATGGAGATCATATCCCCCCTTATGTAGGTATACATGGAGATCATATCCCCCCTTATGTATTTATACATGGAGATCATATCCCCCCTTATGTATTATAACATGGAGATCATATCCCCCCTTATGTATTATACATGGAGATCATATCCCCCCTTTATGTATTATATACATGGAGATCATATCCCCCCTTATGTATTATACATGGTGATCATAATCCCCCCCTTATGTATTATAACATGGAGATCATATCCCCCCTTATGTATTATACATGGTGATCATATCCCCCCTTATGTATTATACATGGAGATATCATATATCCCCCCTTATGTATTATACATGGAGATCAATATCCCCCCTTATGTATTATACATGAGGGAGATCATATCCCCCTTAATGTATTATACATGGTGATCATATCCCCCCTTATGGTATTATACATGGAGATCATATCCCCCCTTATGTATTATCATACATGGAGATTCATATCCCCCTTATGTATTATACATGGTGATCAACATCC